GCAAGAGCTTCTTATGATTTCAGCTGAAAGGGTGACACTATGAGATGGTGTGCTGGTTTCATGCAGGGATGAGCTGCTTTATTTCACAGTGCTGTTGGCCGGCTCAGAGTGGCTGAGGGAGTTGTTTCATTCCATGCTAGTCAGGCTCAGGACACATGCAGTTCAGAAGAGGGAGGAGGCCTAGGGAGGTTGTTGGCTTTGGGCTAGCTTGATAGCTGGGTCGTTAGTGCCTGTGTTAGCTTTTGGTTGTTGTTAGCCATAGGGTGGCTTCTTTTATTAGTAGGCTGGGGGTGTCAGTTGGTTTTCTCCCTGCTCTGGGGCTCTCAGGGGGGACTGCTTGCTACTCTGTGATGCGGCTGTGTGTCAGTCAGTGGGTGGTGAGCTATTGTATCACATATTCTATTTTCTGTTATTCTAATTACTTAGTAGTAGTAGTAGTAGTGTTAGTATCACTATAATTTTCATTTATATTACTAAATAGTTCTTAGCTCAACTTTATGAGCTTTCCCTGTCTTTTCTTCTGACTCTTTTCTTGCACTGGGGGAGGTGGGGAGTGAGTGACTGTGTGGTACTTAATTGCCAGATAAGGTTAAACCATGACAGATGGGAATAAAATGAGTGTGACACTTTTAGTGAAATTAAAGTTCTATACCAGAAATCTATGTTGGATCACTGCAGAGCATGTGCCAAACCTGTCTTGATTTACTTGAAAATGCTGTATCAGAAACAGGACTCCCAACTGCAGAATGTGTCCTGTCCTGGATGACTGACTTGAAATCACTGATTTTGGAATAATATTAATTCAAACTCTTGATAAATTACTTACTGTAATATAACATGCTGTGTTAAAACTTTTACAGCCTTTTAATTAATAGATGATAGTGAAGATTAGATCTAATATTTTTTGCGTAGACTTCTTAATTATAGTCTTTAATGTAGGAACTGAGGAATAAACATCTAATGAATAGCTTATGGCAAGTTTATTTTCAGAAGCTATGTTACTGTGTTGTCACAGATCAACATAACCATTTATCACTAAGTTCTCAAAATTTAAAAACTGTAGCTATCACTTATACGTGCTAGTCATTCTCAGTGTACATTACATATGAATAGTTTATAGCATTTTAAGATACTTGTAACCTAATTCAATATATATTAGTCATAATGAATATGTTCCCTTCTAGAAGAGGATGTATTAGGGAATTAAACCATCCTTTAATAATTTTTAGATTATTATAAGCTTTGTCTTTTAAAAGACAAAAGAAATCATTGCCAAGGGTTATTATTAAAGGAATTTCTTATTATTAAAGGAATTCCTTAAGTTAGTCATATTGGAGGGAGTCATCTGTAATAATATATTGAGTTTTGTTCTGTAGAGACAGGCCACTTGGCTTTCTTCCCAAAGTGAAGTCTTCAAATTAATCTATGGAAATAATTAAAGAAAGTATAATATGTTGGTGTTGCCCACAATCATCAGTGCTGTGAAAAGCTGCAAGCTTAATTCTGCTATGCATGTTGTGCAGCTGTGCCACAAGTGTGTACTCAACATGGTCTGAATTTACTTCTGTGTACTTACTTATAGTCCTATTTCTTTATCCATCAACATAGTACTTAAAATAGATTTCTACAAAAATACAGCAGCATTATATTCTGATTTGCAGCAATTACTGATAATGGATTTATACCTACTTTATTTTTAATGAAATAAACGTGGCCAGCTATGTAAAACACTAAATATATAATTCATGTATTCCCCATTACTATACAAATAGCATCTTAATGTGAAATCCAAAGTTCGTAGTACTCTGAAAAGTGATGTATTATGTACCCACATCTTCCATTAGGGAACCTGAGTCTTGACCTTTCAACATCTGGAGAGATCAAACAACAGCTCATCTGGCAAGAATGAGAAATTATGTAGCAGAATAAGCTCAGGACTGGGAGAAGGAAGATCACAGATGCACAAATAATTATCATTATCAATGAGCTCTTCCCCTGGTCCAATGGGCAGTGTGTTTGAGAGATTGGGGATCTCAGGATTCCTTTCTTGCATGTCCAAGGTGGTTTATTTTTGTTTAGCTGGGTGCATACTTGAAGTTTTAGTTGTAACACTCCCTCTAGAATTTTCTTCTCAGTAATTTTCCACTTATTGGCTTACCTACGTGAATTTGTTAAATTTATTAAGTATCTGATTAGCCATAAGCTGCATAAAACCAACCAGGGAACTGAAATGAATAGGAAGAAAACACTCTCACTAATTTTCATTTCTGACAGTATAACAGAGCCGAAAGCATTTACATTACTTTCCCATTTAGGCAGTTAACTTCTGAGCAATTCTTAAACATCAGGGACCTCTGACTAGAACAACCACCTTGGTGTCATGGTTTAGCCTTATCTGGCAATTAAGTACCACTCCTCCATCACCTCCTCCTCCCCCCACCCCGTGCAGGAGTGCAGGAGGAAAGTCGAGGAGAAGACAAAGAAAGCTTGTAAAGCTGAGATAAGAACTATTTAATAATATAAAATAAATGAAAAAATATAGTGATACCAATACTAACAATACTACTACTACTACTAAGTAATTAAAACAATAGAAAATAGAGCAAATGATACAGTAGCCCACCATGCGCTGACTGACACAGCCAGGTCCCAAAGCAGTGAACAGTTCCTGGGCCTGAGAGCAGGAGAAAATCTTCCTGACATCCCCAAACCACTAACAAAAGAAAACTGCTTCTCTGCTAACAACCGAGCCAAGAGCTAACGAAAGGAGCTACGGACCGAAAGGAGCTAAGGACCCAGCTATCAGGCCAGCCAAAAGCCCTAACGATCCTCCCCCGCAGGCCAACTTCCTGCCTCCAAAACTGCCCATGTGCACACTCCGCCTGACCACTGAGACTGACATACCATGGAATGAAACAAACCTCTTGGGTGCTCTGGGCCAGCCAGGTCTGTAGGAGAGGGGCTCGTTCCTGCCTGAAACCAGTAGACTTGGTCAGCAACCCAAGATTTAGGCAGATAGTATGTTATTTAGGTAGTGTGAATATAAGCAATTTTTATATTGTATATGTGATTTGCTATGTTCTGTGCCAGTTTTATTTCAGATTTAATTCTGGGACATGCTGTGCTATGTAGTCCTTTTGGCTTTCTGCAACTGTTGTGCTTGAAGCCATGCTTCTGCTGCAGAATTCCAACAGGAGCAAACATATGCGGGTTCTTCCGTCTTTGGCTTGCCCCACCATTTGTTCCACATTTTAAATCAACTGGTGCTGTACCCAGCGGAGTACATCTGTTACAGTTTATTGCTAGAAATTTGCAATTCATTTTGGTTTGCTAAAATAATTATAATGTTCGTGGCCAAGAGTACTGCATTAAGCAATTAAAAAAGAGAGTAGGCAAAATTTGCAGAAGTGTATGTGTGATTCAGGACCTGCTGCCCAGTTTGGGTGATTTGGGCACTCAACAGCCTATCACCAATGAGTCAGATGTGCTCTGACAGTTAAGTTTGATCATCTTAAGAAATTAAAGTAGCAACTGAGATGCTGTGACAGCCCTTATGTGCATGTCTCTGCTTTGTTTTAATTAAGAATGAAATAAATTAGCATAAACCACCATGGAATGCATTTGCTTCCCTCATCTTGCCTGAGGTACTCAGCTGGGGAACACCCAGAAACAGAGTAGAGCCTTTACTGCTGAAAATGCAGAGGCACATCTGATTATGCTCTCTTCCTGAAAGTTAACAGCATGTAGGCTGCTAAATAGTCTATACCTTTTTGACTGTTGTACCCACTTTTTTGTCTCTGTGCACCAGGCAAGCTGGGAGTTACTGTATTGGGCTATGTTGTTATTTGCAGGTAGAATTTTCAGGTAGGTGAGATTTCTGTTTTGTGGGCAAAATCGATTATTGATCAGTACAGATTAAGCATTGAATAGTTGATTAGAAAGTGATCCCTTTGCATTAAAAAAAAAAAACCCAAAAACTCTCCCCATAAACATCAACACCAGAAAAAAAATACTAAGCAGATTAGTTTTTCATCATTATAACCCATTCAAACAGAGTTTTTAAATAAGGAAAGCATTTTGATATAATATTGATAAGCCTATCACATTCAGTCTCCATTTCTGTTAGTCAGTCTCACACATATTTGATCTATAGTAACAGAATAAGAACATCCTATTCACCGCAGTGGAGAACTATAGTGCTTAAGTCAAGGGTTTAAGTAGAGGAAGACTTAAAAAATGAATTCCAGGAGTTTCAACCAACAATATGCCTGTTCTGGTTCTTCATCACAGACTTGAGTCTGGATCTGTCCCTTGCACGCTGTTCAGACTCACCCCTTGAATTAAATGAGGTCAGTTTTGCTAAGGAAACCTGAAAACCTACTTGAAAAAGAGCTTGAATTTCAAAAAAATGATTTAATTTTTTGAGTTACACTGGTATAATGAAAGACATACAAATTTCGTTCTGCATATGCTGTCAGACCACCGCTGCCACTGAAAAGTACACCTATATTCCCAACGTTTGTTTGTGTCCTTGCAAATAAAAGCTTTGTAAGAGAAATGAAATTAACTTATCAGCTCACTCAGAAGCAGGTTCATGTCAAGGGGAAGTTGGAATTTATACTGAAATGATGAAACATCCAGAAATAACCCAGATGCTTTAAAATATTTTTGCTTGTTTTTCTTTACAAGTGTTACTTGGAGTGTTACAACAAAGCAGAATTATGTGTTTCTGTACGCTGTACATAACAAACATCCAGGAATGGAAACCATTATCATGACCACTAAATATAATCCTGTTTTCTAGCAGTCCTAGAAATTCTTTTAAATATGCAAAATCTAAATGGTGTGGGTAATACAAATCTAAACAAATTCAAATCAAGTTTGGCTATAATATTGAGTAATTCTGGTTTGTTTTTGCTTATCACTATGAATAAGTGTGAGAAGTATGATTTAAGAGGCCTTGTACTTTTTGGGAATTTTATTCTGTTCTCTTTCTACAGAACATTCTGGCTTTAAATCCTCGAAAACAGATGCATGCATCTCTTCATTCAACTGCAGCAAAGAAACAAGTCAAGAAGCAATGGAAAAGGAATTCTGACAAAAGCTGTTCAGTAAGTGCACATTTATTATTGCATCTGGAACATGCAATAAATCATCGAGACTGAAATCTCAGATGTGTGAAAAATTCAATCTGAGCTTTCTGCGTAGTTCAGTAGCTGGATTTGGCTTCTAGTTCTGTTCCTGTAGATACAAAGTTACTTTGTGACCACCTATTTACTTCTCAGAAGGAGTACATGCCATGCTTTTTTTTCTTTTCGGGGATATTATCAAGTCTTTGATGCAACTTTTTCCCCTTTTGTTACGGAGTCTGATCCGTCTCAAGTATCAAGTGGATTCACAGCTGACTCACCGCTTCCTGAGCCTTGCAGAGCTGCTTGCTCTCCCTGGGTAGCCTGCATCAGCTGCCTCTTCTGTACCCTGCAGGGCTGCTACATGCTCCTTTACTTTCTGTTTTCCAAAGGTAACGCTGGGTAGAGCAGCACAGATTCACAGAATGGTACGGGTTGGAAGGGACCTCTAGACATCATCTAGTCTGACCCCTTCACTATCCTTACTGGCACTTTTAAAGGTATTTTTATTTAAGTATGGAAACAAGGGAACCCATCATACGTGTACCTGTCTTATTTACATATGTGTGTATATGTAGAGCTACCTATATATGTACTATATATACATAGCCATATGTATATACATTATATATAAATACATAAAGCTTAGATTAAAACATGGCTCTAGATTTTAAATTTTGTGTATTGTATATTTCAGGAAGTAGGTGGTTTTAGAATAAATATTTTTTCATGATAAACTGTCTGTATTCTTCTGTATTTCTGCCATTAGATATCATCATTTTCTCTTCAGGTATTTAGATTCCTAGTGTCAGTGTGATATTTGACTAATCCTACCTGACTCTGTTGTCTCTTTAATCTCTCATCTGATTAGAAGTTTTGTAGTTTTTTTTACTGTCTTCATATGGATAATCCTCCAAATTCAGAAACCTTTTAGGTAGAATACTACTTCTTCATTTGCAAACTATTTCCCTTATAGGTACAATGTTATGGTGTTTTTTCATAGTGTTATCAAACCATCTTCTCCCACTAAGTAGGAAAATTCAGGTTTGATAGTTGATTTTAATTATTAGGAAAAAAAAAACCAACCAACAAACTTCCTCAGTTTCTCCAAATTATAAAAACCAGTAGGACAACGAACGTTTGCTGGGAGGAGCAACGCAGGTTATCCTTAGCATTTTAACCATACTCTATTTTTTCCTGTTTTATAGCATTGATTATAAGAATCTGTCTCTTTCTATAGTTAATATTTCTATTACCTTATTTTATTTATTGTCTTAGGTAACTGAAAAAGTACATGAAAAGCTTCTGTTTGTAAACACATATGATTATCTTGGGATGTCTGATGCCGTTATTACTCACAACTGTCTGTTCCTACTGCACAGATGAACTGCTCAGCAAGTGGTTCCCAGCCAGCTGCAGTTTACATTGTTATGTTTTCAGACGACCCGTAATCAGTACTGGGCTGTAAACTCCTCTGTTTTCAGAAACTGTTTCTTAGGCAGTTCAATGCGTCAGGGCAGCTAGGTATCTGTGTAATAACCTGATTAGCTGTTCCAGTGTCAATTATCCTATCCTAGTCAGTTAAACTTAAAACGGTAGCATACACAGTTATCTTCCTAATGGGTGTATTAATACACATTTTCTAAAGCTTCTAGGCTTTAAGGTCGCTCTTGGTTATCTCTGAGCTTTTCCCCATATCAGCCTTGTTTGATTTTTGTATTCAGTTGTGCAAGCAGCACTGATTTTGGGTTCATTGCTAGCTTGTTTGACTTGGCTGGTTTTTCATTTCAAAGAAATTCTGCATGTGGTCAAATATTGCAGGATGATATTTTGGCTTAAGTTTACTATCTAATAAACAACTTGGTTTTGTAGTTCTGCATTACTGCATGGTGATCTGTGCAGTTATTAGGGCTGTGCGCTGACAGAGATCTGCTCGTGTGTTGCAATTTACAGGATTAAATGTTAGAGATAAACAAATAGGTATATTTGTACATGCACACACTTTTATCACAGATAGCTCTTACACCGTGTATTATGAATCATTTGGTAGAAATGTCACATTATTTCGTTTGCAAGTTATGATAACAAATGTCAAATGCTTGAAGAAACTGTAAAGGGGTAGTAGCTTACTTTTACTGTGCCAGATTTGCTACACAGCTTAGTATTCTGGCAGAAAAAACCCTACAAAACCAAAAAGAAAGAACGTAAACATTTTTCTGGTATCCCATTGCATAAAAGGCAATAGGAAAAAATGTGAGACTTTTTACGTTCTCCAGATCACTGTTGTTGAGTGGTTTTAATAAACAAAGAAAACAAAATGATAGAAGCTTTCCTAGCCTTCTTAAAATAAGAAAGCTAATGTAGGAAAGGGTACATTGAACATAATTTTCTGTTATGGTCTAAAAAGCCATTGGCAGTAATGTTTAGATCTGCTAATGAACAGGTCAAGTTGTATTTGAAATCCATAGGAAGTGTTCCTGTTGGCATTTCTTTAAAATCTGAATTTGGCTTTTAGCTTTGGATTCTTTTAAGGCTGTGCTGATGCTGCCTTTGCAGAATCACTGTTGGAGGGAAGGTGGGAGTATGAAAATACAAAACTAATTAAATTAACAGCCCTCAAAACTCTGAACAAAAGCTGCATCTGCTGAGGCATGCACACAGTGACTTTGTAATGTCTAATACACTTCCAGATGGCAGTATTACATATTTCCTCTGAATAATTACACAAGTGAAATTTTAACTCCTAGGCTGCTATGAGGTACTTTGGTTTGCCCATTAAAGGAGTTTTGAAGTTGAAAGTGAGTGTTAATATCTTTCCCCAACACTGGAAAAGCATTCTCCTAAAGGAAGGTTCAATTATGCTTTCAGTGAGTGCTATTGTTTTTCTACTGTGTTAGCAACACAGTTTTGCTGTACAAATGATTTATAGCTGTAGATGCAGGACTAGTCATCTTTACTTCAGAAATTTTAAATTGGAGGTTTAGACTGGAGTAGGTAAACTGTTGCCGAGTCACCCTTGGCAGCAGTGCTAAACCTAGGCATTAGCACTGGTTTCTTCCGAGTCCTGTTGAGAGGTGGTGTAAACAGATGCCACTAGTCTGTCTGGGGAAACAAAGATTTCTGTTGGCCAGAAGAAATTAAAAGTAGAGTTTTTAGGTGGCTATTCTAATAGTAAATCTTGGACAAGGCGGCAAAATTTAAATCACATTAGTTTTATCTGTAAGGTGATGACCTAAAGGAATGAACTTCTTAGGCTGTGAGGACTTGCTTTGATTTCAGGGTTTTCCTAGGTAGTTCAAGATTGTTTAGATTTAAAACATCTGATTTATGTTTTTATTTATGGGTTCCAAGTCTCTCTAATTCAATTTCTGAATGTATTCTTTGCTTGCTGACATTGAAATCATGAACTAGATGGGCACACACTGTGTGCTTTTATGTTACATCCAGCACACGGAATTCCTTGCTGTGTGAATAGGGTTTCTAAGTGTTATGGGACAAGTTCTGTTTTACCTTGTACGTGTGCAGGTTTGTCATTTTAATGAAATTCAACTCTGCATTTTTTATAAATATACTTGTCACTGGGGAATTTAGTGGTATATTGTAGTCCAGCTTTTTTTTTTTTTTTTTTTGTGTGTAATGAAACCTTTGAGGTACCTACTCAGGATAGGTGAGAAGATGATATAAACCCAACTATGTGTTCAGACTTTCTTCAGTTACTGCATTTAGAAATAACAGTAGTAATTGCTTTAGATGAAGGAGTGGGAAGTATTTCAAGAAGACAAGAAATGTAAAAAGGAAATAGGGTTTAAATTGGTTTGTAGTTAATTGCCATAGCCTGTAACAGTATTGATTTTTTTTTTTTTTTTTGGCAGTAGTAGCATTGTTCTTTGTCCTTACATTTGCTAAGCATGATCAGCATTGTGCAACTAGACCCTCTCTTCCTTGAACAAATCATTTTTAAGCTCAGCTGTTTTTTGCAGGGACACCACTTTTGGTCAAGAGTCTTTAATTGTTCTGTAGTTCTTTCCAGACATTAGAAAGAACCCAATTCTTCACCTTGTCTTTTTCTGTGCAACATGAAGGTGAAATTAACACGTTGCTCTGTGCTAATGGTGGAGAGTGAGATCTACAGTTCATTGCAAGATGTAATAAATTACACTGCTCTTTAAATTCAGAGGACATGGTTACTCCCTTAAAATAGTAGTAATAAGAGTTTACTAAACTTAAGACTGCCTTTCACTGATAGTATTGCTGTGGCTGTCACTGCTTTATATAAACATCTGTAAAAAGGAAATCTTATTTAGAAAAAAGTACCTCTTGGTTTACGAATGTCCAAGCTTGCATAGAAAAACCTGTGAATAAGATGACTCACTCTCAGCTGTAATCAGTTTGTTACTCTAAGTTTTGCTTTCCACTGAGATAGAAAAATGCCATGTGATTTTTGTGCCCAATCATGTGTCAGTTAATAATCAAGTTAGCAGTTCACAAACAACTGATGGGTGGAAGCAGAAATAGGGCAAACTGCAAACAAGTAAATATGAAATCTAGTTCATCCAGGGCCTGAAATCAGGAACCTTAATGAATGAATGCTTTTTCAGTGAATTTTGAATTCACAAATTTGGCCCTTTCTAGACACGTATTGATGCAAGTTTATATATTTATAAATAAAAAATAATCCTAAATATTGTAAAATAGAGAACACTCATTAAAGGAAATCAACTCAATTATCTTTATAATCTAAATGTATAGTTTACCTTTGCAAATATTTATTTTTGTCTGCATTGCATATGAATATACAAGTTTAGCTCTTTTCTGAATGAATATACAATGGCAGATGTCTCTCTAATCGCTGCTCTATTCAAACATTAATTGGTAGAACATATGTAGAATTCTACTAGTCTGAATAGGTATAGGATAGCAGCAGTCTTTTTAATCACATCACTATTCAGTCACTAATTGGTGTGATGATTAAGAAACATTAG